CAGATATATATATATACAAGTACAACAAAGTAATAGCGGAAAGTAAACAATTAAAGCTGGGGGAGGGAACATGCTTATGGGGTAGCAGATAAAACAGAATATCAGGGATAACAAAAGAAACTACATTTGATCGCTTCTAACACAGAATAAGGGAAAACAGACCACTTTCACTTATTTCAATTTCCTCTCGTTGCAGGCGTGCAACACGATCCCATTTCCTCATATCACGTGGTAGGCGTACCACTCGATCCCATTTCATAATATCACGTGGTAGGCGTACCACTCGCTCCCATTTCATAATATCACGTGGTAGGCGTACCACTCGCTCCCATTTCATAATATCATGTGGTAGGCGTACCACTCGCTTCCATTTCATAATATCACGTGGTAGGCGTACCACTCGCTCCCATTTCATAATATCATGTGGTAGGCGTACCACTCGCTCCCATTTCATAATGTCTCGTGGTCGGCGTGCCACACGATCCCATTTCATAATATCTCGTGGTCGGCGTGCCACACGATCCCATTTCTTTCAGCACAATACACAATATAATCCCGGCAAGGGAGAAAGATGTTATAATAAGCTATCCCGGCAAGGGAACAAGATAATATAATAAACTATCCCGGCAAGGGGGATCTAGCTATAACAAAACTCAATCAATCTCTACTTAACACAATTAAATCCACACTTAGTCTCTACAATTACTGGCTCAATGTTAAAGATTTCCAACCAATTCCTCATAAATAACAATTACCAATTCGACAATTTAGCAAATTAGGACTCACGGTCATGCTCGACACCAGTGTATAGATACTCGTCACCATACCTATACACCGTACTCGACAAATAGCAATTAACAAATAAGACTCTACTCCTATTCCCTCAAGCTAGGGTTAGACCAAACACTTACCTCGGTCCAAAGAATAGCAATCAATCCTCAAATACCGCCTTTCCTCTACAATCCGACTCCGAAACAACGATATCTAGGCATAATCAATTCAATAATATCAATAAAGACTCAAAAACAAAATTCCATAGCCTAGAAATGAAGTCCCTAGCATTCTCCCAAAAATATCAAAATTTGACACCGGTCCCACATGGTCCAAACACGAGGCTCGGACCAAAACCCAATCACCTATAACCCCACAAGTTCAAATATATAATTTGTTTTAAGATTCGACCCCAAATTGAGGTTGAATCACCCAAAATCTCAAAACCCTAACTCTACCCAAAACCCCTAATTTCTACTTTGATTCCATGATTTTGGGCTAGGAATTTAGTAATTAATAGAGGAAATTGAAGAAAACAAGTTGAACAATGCTTACCCAAGAAGTTTTGATGAAAGGGAGCTTCAATGGACGCCTAAGAGCTTGGAGAAGAAAGGAGTTCGTGTATTTTTATTAAATTCCGAGCTACTGTTCTGTTTTTAACTTAAGAATTCGCTGGGCAAAATTGCCCTTCGCGTTCGCGGGAAAGGGGCCGCGTTCGCGAAGGTAAACTCGACACTTCATCGCGAACGCGTGAAATAGAATGCGAACGCGTAGAAGAAAATGTTGGGGGGGGGGGGAGGGGGTCCAGGGACTGTTATACGCGAACGCGTGAGGGGCCACGCGAATGCGTTGAGGAAGCTGGTAAAGCTACGCGTTCGCGATAATGATGATGCGAACGCGAAGGAGGGGGAATTAGAACTACGCAATCGCGTGAAGTAGGACGCGAACGCGTAAGAGGGGAATACCAAGGCACTGCGAACGCGAGCCTGAGGCCGCGTTCGCGAAGAACAAAATGCCTGTGTAAAAATGCAGCAAAATCTGATCCTTTCCTAAGTGTAAAAAACACCCCGAACCACCTCCAATTCACTCCCGAGCCCTCGGGGCTCCTAACCTATCACACACACTAACTCAATAACATCCTACGAACTTACTCGAGCGATCAAATCGCCAAAATAACATCAAAAATCATTGAATCAAGCCTCAAGATCATCATTTTCATTTCAAACTTCATAACTTCAAATTTTAGATATTTAGGTCTGAAACACGTCAAATGACATCCGATTTCGACCAAACTTTACAGAGAGCGCTTAACACCTATTTAAGACTTGTACCGGGCGTCGGAACCAAAATACGAGCCCGATACCATAGTCTTTTAATCAATTTTCATTTCCATTTTCCTTAATGATTTCAGAAAAAACAATTTCACAGAAAAATTTATTTCTCGGGCTCTCGACCTCGAAATTCGACTCCGGGCATATGCCCGAATTTCATATTTTTCTACGGACCCTCCGGGACCGCCAAATCACGGGTCCGGGTCCGTTTACCAAAAATGTTGACCAAAGTCAACTTTAATCATTTTAAAGCCACATTTTGAAATTTTTCACAGAATTTAACATATAAGCTTTCCGGCTACGCTCCCGGACTGCGTACACAAATCGAGGCAAGCAAAAAAAATGAGGTTTTCAAGGCCTCGGAAGCACAGAAAAAGGGAGAAATCCGATGATGACCCTTTGGGTCGTCACATTATACATGTAATGCACATGTGTAGTTAAATCTAAAATTAAAATTTCATATGTTCAATCTATGTATAAATCGACTTTTCTTGTTGATTTATTTGCAAAATCATGAACATGCAATAATTTTTTTAATTTTTATTTTTTTATTTATGCTATTTGGAACTTGGAAAAGAAGAAAATTTATGGTTTTCAAGTTGCATTATACATGAATTTGAATTTTTTGTAGCTGGAATAGGAATATATACAAACTTGGGGAAGAAGAATAAAAAAAAGAAGAAAAAAATGCTAATTTTTCAAACTTTGGCCTATTGTTAATGGGCTACAGATTTGCAAAGTTGTAACTGGATTATTCTGCTGCAATGTATATAGGTGGACTGTATTTTTGTGTAATTCTCCCTCAGCACTTTAACCATGGCACTTTAACGGACCCTGGTTTGAGTACCAGACGGTGCATTTTTTAATTACATAATTAAAAATACCAACTGATTTGGTCGGAAAATACCGACCGATATCGATCGGCTTTTTCGGCGGATTATTTCTTTTTGGGTCGTTTGTGAAAATTAATTTACCGACCAAAATCGGTTGAAAATTGCGACCGACTTCGGTCGCTATTTTTTACCGGCCATCCTAATTTCGACGGATTAAAGTCGGTCGGAAATCGGTCGGTCTTTCAAGTTTCCGACCGATTTCGGTCGGTATTTCTGAACGGTTTTAGGCAGTAATGTACTCTCTTTTAAGCTTGTTTGTCTTTAAAAAAAACTAATGTGTTTTTAAATCTTTTTAAGAGCTAAGGTATGAAAAATATTTGAATGATGTAAAATAGGATTAGATTCATAATCCAATTAATTAAATAAGAGAGTATAGTTTTCCATATAAAATAATAATGTCATAATATAAGGGACAAACTTGTCAGTATAAGTTTGTTAAATAAAAATATAAGTATTACATAAAATTAGAAAGAATGGAGGTTTTATATAGAATTATGATTCTAAAAGGTTGGATGTCATGCATCGAATGATAAACAAAATTTGTTACCCAAGAAAGTATATAATATAAGAATTAATGAAAAAGCTCACATATGCTACTGAGCTTAATGAAAAGGCTCATATATGCCACCCGTAAAGGGGCTTAAAGGGGAAGGGGATGGTAAGTGATGAAGGGTTTAGATGATGCAACGTAACAAAATTTGATATTAGTAGGGTTCTATTAGTGAAAAATGACATATATGATCCAATAGTATAACGTTAGTGACACGAATATATCAAACTTTTGACGAATGGCAGGCCATTTTTTAAAGTTGGATGAACCTTTTCGGTTGTTAAAATAATACACTAGTAATACACGAAATTAACATATCCATGCGGCCATGCGTTTACTTTTCTATATGTTAGTCAAGCAAAGACAGTAGTCTTCTCTCAACTCTTTTCTTCTCCCTCTGCATCTCCACTCCGGCGTGCCTTGTCATTTATTTGCTGTGAGTTTACACATTTTATTTATAGTAAAACATATGAAGGAATTAAGGTAGTAGATTTTAGTATTTCTTTGTTCAAGTGTCGTTATCCACATATGTGTGGTGACGAAATTGAATTCCTCCTATGGTTTTTGGGATCTCCAATTAGATCCATTCTCCGTAAACATAGACTTAAAAAAATTCTTGATATATTTTTTCGAAAATGGGTCTGTTTCGGGTAGAATTCTATTTGGAGGTTTTGTCAATATTCTTTCTAGTTGTGCTTAAGCATACCTTTGGTGGCATCTTGATGTCATTCGTGTGAACCCTGTGGTTCTTCACATTGCTCAATTAATCCTTGTGTTGGTGTTACTATACTTAGCCCTGATCTGAAAAGTGCTAGAGATAATAAACCTTGGCAGATCCGTGAGTTGTTGAGAGTAATGGCTTATGCTGCCGTTAACTCTCTAATTCAAACTTTGGAGCTATTCCAGAGGACTTACCCAGCTATGATCAATGGTCAAGTTGCAGAGATGGTTGACTCCTTGCATGCTAATGCTGAGTATTTCCAAAGAATTCTTGACAACTCTAGCCATCAGAAACATGAATATGAAAAAATCAAGGATTTGGAGGGAGGGATGAGAGCTGCGGTGCAACGTGCTGAAGATTTGTTTGAATCAAATATTGTTCGAATTTTGAGAGAGCGCTACAATCAGCAAAAAGAGAAGAATAATGGGGCCAAATGGACTATTCAAGATGAGGCTAGGGTTCTACTTCGAGACTTGCCTCAAGCTATAGACAATATTGATGCAATAAGGAAAGACTTGGCCCGGGTTATTGAGAGTAGCACCTCCACGATCAATGCTAATGCCCATGGCCCTAGCACTAGACAGGATCAATTTGTCAAACCAGGAGATTCTTCAGCGTGATTCTATTGTCCTTCCACAGGAAGCTACGGTGGGTTTGGATGATATGCCTTGACAGAGATTACTAATCGTCTACTTGGATCAGCTTCTGAGCGGGAAGTTATTCCTATATTAGGGATGGGCGGATGTGGGAAAACAACGCTTGCCAAAAAAGCTCAGGATCATCTTTCAATCATGTCTCGTTTTGACATCCAAGTGTGGGTTACAATATCTCAGGAATATCACTTGAGAGAAGTGCTGCTAAGCCTTGTATGTTCTGTTGCAGGGAATAAGTTTCAAGATATGAGTGACGACCAGTTAATGGAGAAGGCATATAGAGCACTGAAGGGTCGGAAGTATCTTATTGTCATTGATGATGTTTGGAGTACAAAAATTTGGGATGTGATGGCAAGAACTCTTCCCAATGACAAAAACGGGAGGAATCATTTTGACTACGAGGCTTAAAGACGTAGCTGAGTATGTTAACTCTGATATTCCTCCTCATGAAATGATGCCGTTGAGTTTAAATGACAGCTTTGCGATAAGTTACTCGGGGAACTTGTCCTTCTGAATTGGAGGAAATTGGGAAGAAAATAGTAGGAAAATGTCAAGGACTCCCTTTAGCAATTCTGGTGGTTGCAGGGCATCTCTCAAAAGTTGGCATGACGAAAGAAAGCTGGGCGACTGTAGCTAAAAATCTGAATAATGTTGTTACAAGTTATCCGGATAAATGCCTAGCAGTACTTGCTATGAGTTACTATCACCTGCCTATTCACTTGAAACCTTGTTTCCTCCATTTAGGAACATTCCCCGAGGATCATGAGATTGATGCTTGGAGATTGATCCAATTGTGGGTTGCGGAGGGGATTCTAAAGAGTAATAAGTTAAGAAGCCTGGAAGAAGTAGCAGAGGATTGTTTGGAAGATCTGGCTAGTAGAAATTTAGTAATGGTCACAAGGAGGAAGCTCAATGGTCAGAGCGTGAATGATGCGGTATGCATGATCTGTTGCGGGATTTGAGCGTGAATGAAGCTGGAAAAGAAAAGTTTTTGAATGTGATTACGAATATTAATCGAGCTCCTAATTTCCCAACACAGAATTGTAAGTTTCCTCGGTTTAGTTTGCATGCTCACTTCTCATTGGAAAAGTTTTCAGACTTATCACAGGGTGTGCGGTCCTTGTACATTTTCAAGCAACTTACTGGAAGAATTGCAGGATTCAAAGCTTTAAGAGTGTTGGTTTCCATTCCTAGGGCTATTTTAAAGTACCGCCATCGCTTAACATCAGATTCAGCTTTCTTGAGATTCGTAGAGGCAATGATCTCACTGAATCACTTCCATATTTGTATAATCTGCAAACCTTTATTTTTAAGCATGATAAATTAAAGTGTGATGCAGTTATAACTTTACCTGACTATATCTGGAATATGAAGCAGTTGACGTACATCCATATTCAACATTGCATTCATTTACCCAATCCTCAAAGTATTTCAAGCACCAATGTGGTAGACAGTAAAAGTGATTTGGGTCTGCAACATCTACAGGAGTTTTCGCATCTTTGTTTTGCTAGCTGTACGAAGGAGGTACTTTGTGTGGCGTCCATCCCCATTAATTAAGGAAGATTTTTTCTTCCTTGTTCGTTCCTTTTTTCAAAATTGGCAGCCTGCAGCCATCATCCCACAGCAGCCCACGTTTTCTTTCTGCATCTGTCAAATATGGCAGGCGTGCAGATAAAATATGTCAAGCGTAGTAGGCGGTGTTCTGCTTATAAAAGGAGAGCTTCGGCTCTCATTTTAAACACCAACAAAAGAGAGAAAGAAAGAGTGAGGTTTCACAGACAGGGTATAAGAAAATAATCTGTGAGAAAAATAGAGAGTGAGCGATATTGTAGTGAGGTGGGAATATCAAAAGAGGGTTATTTCTTTTGAGTGTTGTAGTGGTCTTTGGAGTATTTTACTCGGACCTACAAAGTGTAAAATTCCTTACTATAGTGATATCAGTTGCTCCTCTCGGGGCCGTGGTTTTTCCCTTATTAAAAGGGTTTTCCACGTAAAAATCTTGGTGTCGTTGTTACTCTTTTATTCTTGTTAATTACCGTATCTCGGTGCCACATTATTATTCCGCTTTTATTACCGTGAATATTATTTCTGTGGGGGTTTATTCCCAACAACTGGTATCAGAGCACAGGTTCTGCTTGTTCCCTGAAATACTATTCACTGTCGGTAGTACTATACTCGGTGAAAAATAAAAATGTCCGGAGTAAAGTACGAGGTAGCAAAATTCAACGGAGATAACGGTTTCTCAACATGGCGAAGAAGGATGAGGGATCTGCTCATCCAACAAGGATTACACAAGGTACTAGATGCTGATGCCAAAAAGCCTGATACCATGAAAGCTGAGGATTGGGCTGACTTGGATGAAAGAGCTGCTAGTGCAATCAGGTTGCACTTATCAGATGATGTGGTAAATAACATCATTGATGAAGACACTGCACGTGGAATTTGGACAAGGTTGGAAAGCCTATACATGTCCAAAATGCTGACAAATAAATTGTACCTGAAGAAGCAGTTATACGCCCTACACATGGGTGAAGGTACGAATTTTTTGTCACATTTAAATATTTTTAACGGACTAATCACACAGCTTGCCAACCTCGGAGTGAAAATCGAGGAAGAAGATAAAGCCATATTGCTATTGAACTCGTTGCCATCTTCGTACGATAATTTGGCAACAACCATCCTGCACGGTAAGACTACTATTGAGTTGAAAGGTGTCACATCGGCTCTTCTACTCAATGAGAAGATGAGAAAGAAGCCTGAAAATCAAGGACAGGCTCTCATCACAAAAGGTAGAGGCAGGAGTTATCAAAGGAGTTCAAGCAACTATGGTAGATCCGGAGCTCGTGGGAAGTCAAAGAACCGATCCAAATCAAGAGCCAGAAATTGCTACAACTGTGATCAACCAGGTCACTTCAAAAGAGATTGCCCAAATCCAAGGAAGGGCAAAGGTGAAACCAGTGGCCAGAAGAATGACGACAACACAGCCGCCATGGTGCAAAACAATGATAATGTTGTCCTCTTTATAAATGAGGAAGAGGAATGCATGCACCTATCAGGTCCAGAGTTGGAATGGGTGGTTGACACAGCGGCATCTTACCATGCCACACCGGTAAGAGATCTTTTTTGCAGATATGTAGCAGGTGATTTCTGCACTGTGAGAATGGGTAACACAAGTTACTCAAAGATTGCGGGGATTGGTGACATTTGTATCAAGACAAATGTCGGATGCACATTGGTTCTAAAGGACGTGCGGCATGTACCTGATTTGCGGATGAACTTGATCTCGGGAATTGCTTTAGACCGAGATGGATACGAGAACTATTTTGCAAATCAAAAGTGGAGACTCACTAAAGGATCATTGGTGATTGCAAAGGGAGTTGCTCGTGGCACGTTGTACAAGACAAATGCAGAAATATGCCAAGATGAATTGAATGCGGCACAAGATGAGATTTCTGCAGATTTGTGGCACAAAAGAATGGGTCATATGAGCGAGAAGGGATTGCAGATTCTTGCCAAGAAATCACTCATTTCTTATGCCAAAGGTACAACGGTAAAATCTTGTGACTACTGTTTATTTGGTAAGCAGCATAGAGTCTCATTTCAGACATCGTCTGAAAGAAAATTGAATATACTTGATTTAGTATATTCCGATGTTTGTGGCCCAATGGAAATTGAATCAATGGGCGGTAACAAATATTTTGTTACTTTTATTGATGATGCTTCACGAAAATTATGGGTTTATATTTTGAAAACCAAAGATCAGGTGTTTCAAGTTTTTCAGAAGTTTCATGCTCTAGTAGAAAGGGAGACGGGTCGAAAGCTAAAGCGTCTCCGAAGTGACAATGGAGGGGAGTACACTTCAAGGGAATTTGAAGAGTATTGTTCAAGTCATGGGATCAGACATGAAAAGACAGTTCCTGGAACCCCACAGCACAATGGCGTAGCCGAGAGGATGAACCGCGCCATTGTGGAGAAGGTGAGAAGCATGCTCAGAATGGCTAAACTGCCTAAGTCATTCTGGGGTGAAGCAGTTCAAACAGCCTGTTACCTGATCAATAGGAGTCCATCAGTTCCATTGGAGTTTGACATCCCAGAGAGAGTTTGGACCAACAAGGAGGTGTCCTACTCGCATCTGAAGGTGTTCGGTTGCAGAGCTTTTGCACATGTACCAAAAGAGCAGAGAACAAAGCTGGATGATAAATCTGTTCCCTGCATATTTATCGGATATGGAGATGAAGAGTTTGGGTACAGATTGTGGGATCCTGTAAAGAAGAAGGTCATCAGAAGCAGAGATGTAGTCTTCCGAGAAAGTGAAGTTGGAATTGCTGCTGATATGTCAGAAAAGGCGAAGAATGGTATAATTCCTAACCTTGTTACTATTCCTTCTACTTCTAACAATCCCACAAGTGCAGAAAATACGACCGACGAGGTTGCCGAGCAGGGGGAGCAACCTGGTGAGGTTATTGAGCAGGGGGAGCAACTTGATGAAGGTATCGAGGAAGTGGAGCACCCCACTCAGGAAGAAGAACAACCCCAACCTCTGAGGAGATCAGAGGGGCCAAGGGTAGAGTCATGCAGGTACCCTTCCACAGAGTATGTCCTCATCAGTGATGAGGGGGAGCCAGAAAGTCTTAAAGAGGTGCTGTCCCATCCAGAAAAGAACTAGTGGATGAAAGCTATGCAAGAAGAGATGGAATCTCTACAGAAAAATAGCACGTACAAGCTGGCTGAACTTCCAAAGGGTAAAAGACCACTAAAATGTAAATGGGTCTTTAAACTCAAGAAAGATGGAAATGGCAAGCTGGTCAGATACAAAGCTCGATTGGTGGTTAAAGCCTTCGAACAGAAGAAAGGTATTGATTTTGATGAAATTTTCTCACCTGTTGTCAAAATGACTTCTATTCGAACAATTTTGAGCTTAGCAGCTAGCCTAGATCTTGAAGTGGAGCAGTTGGACGTGAAAACTGCATTTCTTCACGGAGATTTGGAAGAAGAGATTTATATGGAGCAGCCAGAAGGATTTGAAGTAGCTGAAAGGAAACACATGGTATGCAAACTGAATAAGAGTCTTTATGGGTTGAAGCAGGCACCAAGGCAGTGGTACAAGAAGTTTGACTCATTCATGAAAAGTCAAACTTACATAAAGACATATTCTGATCCATGTGTATACTTCAAAAGATTTTCTGATAACAACTTTATTATATTATTGTTGTATGTGGATGACATGTTGATTGTAGGACAAGATAAAGAGCTGATCGCAAAGTTGAAGAGAGATTTGTCCAAGTCATTTGATATGAAGGACTTGGGCCCAGCACAACAAATTTTAGGGATGAAGATAGTTCGAGAGCGAACAAGCAGAAAGTTGTGGCTATCTCAGGAGAAGTACATTGAACGTGTACTGGAACGCTTCAACATGAAAAGTGCTAAGCCAGTCAGCACACCTCTTGCTGGTCATCTAAAGTTGAGCAAGAAGATGTGTCCTACAACAGTGGAGGAGAAAGGGAACATGGCTAAAGTTCCTTATTCTTCAGCAGTCGGAAGCTTAATGTATGCAATGGTATGCAGTAGACCTGATATTGCTCACGCAGTTGGTGTTGTCAGCAGGTTTCTTGAAAATCCAGGAAAAGAACATTGGGAAGCAGTCAAGTGGATACTTAAGTACCTGAGAGGTACCATGGGAGATTGTTTGTGCTTTGGAGGATCTGATCCAATCTTGAAGGGCTATACAGATGCTGATATGGCAGGTGACATTGACAACAGAAAATCCACTGCTGGATATTTGTTTACATTTTCAGGGGGAGCTATATCATGGCAGTCTAAGTTGCAGAAGTGTGTTGCACTTTCAACAACTGAAGCAGAGTACATTGCCGCTACAGAAACTGGTAAGGAGATGATATGGCTCAAACGGTTCCTTCAAGAGCTTGGATTGCATCAGAAGGAGTATGTTGTCTATTGTGACAGTCAAAGTGCAATAGACTTGAGCAAGAATTCCATGTACCATGCAAGGACAAAGCATATAGATGTGAGATATCATTGGATTCGTGAGCAGGTGGAGAACGAATCTTTACAGGTCAAAAAGATTCACACAAGTGAAAATCCTGCGGATATGCTAACCAAGGTAGTACCAAGAGACAAGTTCGAGCTTTGCAAAGAACTTGTCGCCATGCGCTCAAACTAGAATCTCCGGTGCTACCTCCTTCGGGTGAATGGGTCTGGAGGGGGAGATTTATGGGGTCCATCCCCATTAATTAAGGAAGATTTTTTCTTCCTTGTTGGTTCCTTTTTTCAAAATTGGCAGCCTGCAGCCATCATCCCACAACAGCCCACGTTTTCTTTCTGCATCTGTCAAATATAGCAGGCGTGCAGATAAAATATGTCAAACGTAGTAGGCGGTGTTTTGCCTATAAAAGGAGAGCTTCGGCTCTCATTTTAAACACCAACAAAAGAGAGAAAGAAAGAGTGAGGTTTCAAAGACCGGGTATAAGAAAATAGTCTGTGAGAAAAATAGAGAGTGAGCGATATTGTAGTGAGGTGGGAATATCAAAAGAGGGTTATTTCTTTTGAGTGTTGTAGTGGTCTTTGGAGTATTTTACTCGGACCTACAAAGTGTAAAATTCCTTACTATAATGATATCAGTTGCTCCTCTCGGGGCCGTGGTTTTTCCCTTATTAAAAGGGTTTTCCACGTAAAAATCTTGGTGTCGTTGTTACTCTTTTATTCTTGTTAATTACCGTATCTCGGTGCTACATTATTATTCCGCTTTTATTACCGTGAATATTATTTGTGTGGGGGTTTATTCCCAACACTTTCTTGGCTTACTAATCTTAAGAAGTTGAGGATTGCTAATATTCAAGAAGACATCAATGGTCTTGAGGGAAAAACTGGCAGCCTACTCAATCTTGTCTACTTAAAGAAACTTGAATCGCTCTACCTGTCTTGTGAGATGTGGGAGCTCTCGTCTCCCCTTGCGGACAGTTGTTCTTTCCCAATATCTCTTAAGAGGTTGACCATATTCAGTGCTAGGCTTTCGTGTGAAGACATGGCAGTTCTTGCGAAGTTGCCAAACCTGGAAGTGCTCAAACTCAGACGGGTCGAATTCAGGCCTTCAGTATGGAAACTAAATGATGAAGATCAGTTCAAGCAGCTAAAGTTTCTCCTACTTGTTGATAACACAGATATAAAGCAGTGGGAGGCTAGCAGTGTTAACTTCCCAAATCTTCGACGCTTGGTGCTCCATCAAATCTGGAATCTGAAGCGAATCCCTCTAGCCTTTGCAGAAATCTGCACCTTGGAGTCAATTGAGTTATATATGTGCTCGCGGAATCTTGAGAAATCAGCAAGAGAAATTCAAGAGGAAGTATCTTCTGTTGTAGGGAATGATTGCCTTCATACTGGCATCTATAATGGTAAGTTTCAAATTTCAATTTGTGTCAGAATAATACTTAGAGTGCTTCTTATTTACTTTTCTTTGCTCCTCAGATGTATATATATATGTTTCTCCAAAATAATACTCAGGTTATATTTCTCACAGTATGCTGTTCTTTTAAAACTTTTACTATTAGTTTCTCTGCCAAGCATTATGTGATTTCTTTGCTAATTAATAATGTTGAAAACGAAAAAGAGTTATTGGTTTCTCTTCTCCTTTGCAGATTATCACACTTATAAAAGACGCATTTGAATCGCTTTTGCTTCCGTCAAGTAACATGAAGCAATATCAGTCCATGATTTCAAGTTAAAATCAGAGTGGTTTCTCTCTATGCTCTTCTTACTGCTATAACATTTTAGGATTGTAATAGTGACTGTTTTTCTCCCTATCATCCTTCTTCCTCTTCTAACATTTTAACTCTCTTTTTTCTCTTGAGGTTTTTCCACTCTTTTATTTTGGCCGAATTGGCAGTCAGTCTTCAATATATTATGTTTGATATTCATGAATATAAGAGTAAAGACAGAGTGCTCGATAGTAGATATTATCATTTGGTTTACATTATCGGAGTTCTCAATAGCCCCCAAAATCTGTCCAAACAATGTCTGGTTGTAATCCTGTCTTCTTAGTAGTTGGGCATGCAAAGACCAGTCTAATAAGAAGGCTAAACTAATGTCTATATGTCAATGAAGCAGCTGCTTGTTCAGCCATCTTCTCATATTCTTCTATTGATTTAAAAGAGCTCTGCACCCTACTCTCTGAATTAGTTTTTATAGGTCTTGTTGCTCTACAATAACAACATAGTGAAAAGTTGAAAAGTGACTATTGTTTTAAGTAGCTTATTAAAGAGAATCCAGAGAGGTATTATTAACAATGTCTGAGATTGCTGGAATCTTCAACATTTAGTGGAATCTGAAACTGTTTTTGTCTTTATAACATATGCATGAACTACTGTTAGCCTCTGATCTCCAGTTAGTTCCATCGTTCTTTTCCTTATTCACACTCTAATAAACCAGGAGAAGAAATATATCTTTTTGGATCTTTCATCTTCCTTTTCCAGCTTTCGGCTAAAGCTATGGCGACATATTAAATCGAAATACAATTCGTGTTAAAATCCATATTATATAGTTAGTTCATTACCACATAGCTTATCTCGGATGTTCTAAGTTTACACAGAATATCAGCAAAAGCGGAAGCCTTCAACTTGACACTGGATGTTCAAGTTTATTCTACTCGCCACACGTGATTTTTAGCAATACACTTTAATTAAGATCAGGCAACTGTGACACCATGCACATTTATGGAAGTCAACTCCCAAAGCTGGATTTGTAAGTTTTTTATTCATGAAATCTGAAGTCTTTTCAATTTTTGTGATTGTTTCTTGATCTCTGTGGACGAAGATAACCATCTGGCATTAGTTTTGGAAGAGTTTACAGTTAATCTTGAAAGCGTTAATTTCCCTCCATCTGACTACTGAGAGTGATGGCCTATCCTGCAGTGAACTCTCTAATTCAAACTTTGGAGCTATTCCAAACTACTTACCCAAATTTGATCCATGGTCAAACTGCAGAGATTATTGACTCTCTTCGAGCTAGTGCTGATTAGTTGTTCCTGAAGGAAGAAGATGAACGGCCTGTTGTTGAAGATGGACGGCCGAAGAAGAAGATAGAAGGAAGAAGATGACTGACGGAAGAGGGAAAGGGGTGGGGAAGTCTGTTTAGGGCTGGGCGATACAGTATAGCTGAAGCATATGTTTTGGGTCTTTTAGAATTAGGGTGGGTCGGGTCGGGTCGGATCGGTTGTTTTTAAGTCGGGTTTGGTATCGGTAAATTAAAAAAAGAAAAGAAAATATAGTTTCCGTCTAATAATGGCAAATTTGCACAATTGTTGGACGGTTTGGACATATTTGGGCCAAACTAATAACGACGGGCATATTTGTCCTATTTCGCATAGTTCACGGGCATATTTGGACCTTTTCCGTTGTTTAAGCAACGAACTCTATCAAACTAGCTAATATACTGAGCTTGCTGGTTTTATTTTTTACTTTTCTTTGCTCCTCAAGTATTTATACTTCTCCAGATTAATTACTCCATGTTACACTAGCTACGCATCATACTTTAAACAGTTTTATACTAAGAATTATTTAGATGTCGTATCGTTGAAAAGAAATTAAAGAAACAACTTATATATTGAGTTTGCTTTCACTTTGCAGATACATACAAAAATGTTAAAAGAGGCGTTTAATGAAGTGCATGATCATTTCATTTGAAAATTTAAAACGTTAGAGAGGGCCACACATCTACTCAGGTGCGAATTTGAGTTAATTCATAAAATATTGACTATGCTTCCCTCGAGTAATATGTGGCTCTATTTTCCAATATCTCAAGAAGGAATTACCAAACGGCTTCAGAATTGATGATTTCACGCTAGCTCATTAGAGTTCTTCCTATCCTTTTTGTTTTACTATACAAATTATATTATAGGGTTTGTAATAGCACTATGTTCTTTCTTTCATCCTTCTCTTTTCTCACTTTATTTTTTATTTTCCTTTTCTGGTAATTGTATTCGTAGGATATATTCAACTTTGAATTGCACTAATTTTTATTGATTAGATGCTATTGAAGTTAGAGATGGACCTACACGATAAGATGGGGGTATATTGGCACCCCATAACTTAGGCAAAAATTTTCTGTATGCATGCGAATATCTGCAAGAATTATCCATATATCAATTTGGTTACATATAGATAAAATAACTATCTTACCAAATTAATTAACTCATCAGTAACTAATGTATGCGATAATATCAACTGCATATATGATCAGTGACAAATTCACGGTGTGCAATGTGCACCTTGATAGTTACTCCTTTTGTCTCAAGTTATGTCTTACTTTTCTTTTTAGTCTGTTGCTCTTTTATATTTAGTAACTTACTAACTCCAACATTCCACGTGATATATCTAAAACCACAATATTCAAGGATAATTTAATACATGTTATAAATAGAATTTTATTTATGGTGAATGTCTATATTTAGAGAGATTCTAGGGTTTATTACTTGGTGGCTAAGTCACCATCTCCCTATAAATAGAGGGTTTTATTCCATTGTAAATTATTCAATATCAATAAGAATTCTCTCTCTCTACTTTTCTCTGCAATACTCTTCTTCTTCTTTTATTGTTTCATAACACGTTATCAGCACGAGACTCTAACCAATTGAGTAGAAGCTTTGGGATTGAGCATAATGATTGTCAATTATTCCACGAACTTCCTTCATGATTAAATTTTAGATTTAAGGTAAGTATTTTACTCTTCTATATTCTTGAAATTCTATAATTTGATTTTATATACAAGCAAAGACAACAATGTTTGATTATAACTCTAATGGAGTTTGTAAGAAATTATAACCACCTGAAGTGGTAAAATTTCTATGTCTTGCCATGATCAAAGTCATGTATGATCGTGAGCACAAGAAGTGAAAACCCGTCCCATTGAATTTGCTCCATTCTCATTCCCTTAAGAGAATGTGATAGCAATATGTGATAAGTCTGAAAGAAGACAAAATTATTACCGTGAAGGTATCAATGGATGTGGACGTGGCAATAGACGAAATTATAATCGTCATCATTGTGATAATGAGAATAATAAGGATTCTCAAAATAATCCTTCACTCTGTGAAAGTAATATTTGTCATCGATTTGATATGAGATTTTATTAAGCACATATAGATGATTATGGTCCATTCATGATGTGAACGTGACAACATCTGATTTATGAATACATATTCATTCTTCAAAGAATATGAACGTGCTAGTGGTAGTGAATATACCGCACTCACCTCTAAAAGGAGGTTTGAGATGATATAAGAACGGCATGAATGGTCATTGGTCACGTACCTATTGTACGCCAAAATATTTTGGCATTGTGATTATTAAAAGACAACGGTAATGCAAGAAACATATCTTGCATATAATTTTGACCATAACCATAATGGTATAACTTTCTCTTTAAAAGAGATATTCACCTTATGGGTGTTGATGAATATGTGGTACTACAAAATTAATTGAGAACTCTGCAAGAGCCAATTATACTATTTTGGAGAAACACAATTGATTACCAATGAGGTATTGTGTTGTAGTAAGTCTCAAAGAAACTTATTCAGTTTCCAAAGTATACGCGAAAGCGATTGATTATATTGAGACTATAAATTGTCACGACCCGAATTTCCACCCTCGGGAGTCGTGATGACGCCTACTAGTACGAGCTTGGCAAGCCAATTAATTTCACAATTTACCTTTTTTACTCATTTTATATCCATTAGCAATTTTAATAATAATAATAACATTTAAACAGCGGAATTTAACATAAGCGGAAGAAAACAACAAACTATCTGAACATAAATACCTAGTACAACTGTTTGAGTCTCGACTACCCAGAACTGGTGTCACAGTTTCACAGACGGTCTAAGAATACTACAAATAAAGGTCTGAAAGTATTAAATACAACACTGTCTCTGGAAATACATGTAAGAAACAGGAAAGTAGATAGAAGGAGACGCCGGGGCCTACGAACGCCTGCAGGGCTACCTCGGGTCGCCTGATGAACAAGATTCAGCAATCTCACTGCGGTCCGAAGTCTTCAACACTGGGGTCTGCACAAAAGCATGCAGAGTATAGTATCAGCACAACCGACCCCATGTGCTGGTAAGTGCCTAGCCTAACCTCGGCGAAGTAGTGACGAGGCTAGGACCAGACCACCAAATAAACCTGTGCAATTATATAATATACATCGGAAATTAAAGCAGAAATAAATAAGTAAGGATGGGAGGGGGAAACATGCTTCGGGGAATGACAGGTAGAAACGGAATATCAAGAGAACTATAAAGGAATCAAAATCCAACCACTAACAAGAGTAAGGAAAACAAAGGAAGATTTCACTTTCTTTTCACATCTTGTTGCAGGCGTGCAACCCGCTCCCATTTCATTATATCTCGTGGTAGGCGTACCACCCGCTCCCATATAATATTGTTGCAGCGTGCAACCCGACCCATATATAATATTGTTGCGGCGTGCAACCCGATCCATATATAATATTGTTGCGGCGTGCAATCCGATCCATATATAATATTGTTGCGGCGTGCAACCTGATCCATATATATAATATTTACAATTATAACGAGAGTCCCGACAAGGTATCAAAAGGTCTACACTATCCCGGCAAGGGAAAAACAACTATAACCAAACTTGTTCCAACACCTAACTACCTCAGCTATAACCAAACTTATTACAACACCTAACTACCTTAGCTATACCCAAACTTTTTACAACACCTAACTACCTCAGCTATACCCAAACTTGTTACAACACCTAACTACCTCAGCTATACCCAAACTTGTTACAACACCTATCTACCTCAGCTATACCCAAACTTGTTACAACACCTAACTACCTCAGCTATACCCA